GGCGTGAGAGTAGGTATTTGGTCTTGCTGTCTTTTCTTCTGGCTCTTGCTCATGATTCCTAGTTTCCTTGTGTATCTGATCATTTTCAACCTTTGCTGTATATTGTTCGAATAATTTGTGGATTTAGAAGAGGTGACTTTCTCCGGAGAACATTTATGTTTGCTTCAGCCAGGCACCTGTGGTTGTTACCGATTTAGGACCACCTTAAGCCAAATTCAAGGTTTGACACGCTCTGAACCACTCAGATGAGGAAAACCTTGACCGTAAATCGATATAAGAGCTAGTTTACTTACAGATTGCACTTACTCTGAGGGTGTGATCCTTTGAGATCTCAGCTTTTTATAGATGGGATTTTCTTTTGTACTCTCAACTCGTATGGGTCCTGGGCCCCATCACTTCACATGGCTCTTGTTAGAATTGGCAAGTGCTCTAGAGCGAAGCCACTCTTTTCTTACTAACTTTGCTGTGTGCCCATTCCTCTTTTAGTTGGGCTAAGTCAGTCATTAGTATCTTGTCTTTTCAGTGTTTTTAAGAAGATGCTCTTTATATTTTATTCAGTATTTTTAGTGGAATGTGCTTTCTGAATAACCTAGCCTGCCGAAATGTCCAGATCTCTTGTTTAGGCCAAAGTTATTTCTTTTCCTCCCAGAAGACCTCACTTTTGAAACTCAAAACCAGAAGATGCTTTTCATTCTTTGCATGTATCATTTCTTCCCTGAGGCGATAAACAAGGAAACTCTAAACTTGAGTGAGAAAAGGGCTGTATGGTAAAAGAAAGTACCTCTCAATTTGGTTAGCATTTCAAAATATTATCCCACCACATATGTGAACTGCTTAACCCAGTGCCCAGCCCGTAGTTAGGGTTCAGTAAATAACTGCCACTGTCATGATTATTATTTCTCTATCCAAACTCACCTTCTTTAGGATGCTTTCCTTCATTAACCTTGTCCCATTCCAACTCATCTTCTGCTGTATTTTCCCCAAGTACCTTTTTACCCCCGATGATACCCCATTGATTTATTCTAATTGCTTTTTCGAATATGCACTTTTTCTTGGGAAAGTGCAGTGGCTGAATGCCACCCCCAGAAGCCTTCGAAGGTGTCTACATCTTGTTTCTTTAACTCTGGTATCAGAACTCTTTCAACTGCAGGTGTCAGAAGACTCATTTCAAACTGCATTGAACAAGAAAAGATTCCATTGGTTCATATAACTGGAAAACTCAGGGGTAGGTCTTCAGGTACAGTTTGACCTGGAGCTCGGTGACTGTCATGAGGACCTGGTCTTTCTCACCATATTGTGGTCTTTAGTTCTCTGTTTTGTCTTCATTCTCAGGCAGCTCCACACTCATGGTAGCTCCAAACCCAATGAGAAAAGATTCCCAATGGCCCCCAGAAAAGTCCCGGCATTCACTACCATGGGACTAATTAGGTCAATGCCCTCCTTACACGGCCAGGGGAATATGATATGCTGACTGGCTAAGTCCAAATCAGAGATATACTCCCTAAAATCCACAGTTAAGCCTCTCTGAAAAGCACGTGATCTGAGATTAGAGGAACTGTCATTCCCTGAAGGAAAACTTGGGGTGGCCAAAAGGGAGTAAAATGGATACTGGGTAGACAAAAGCACCATCTGTCCACTTCAGTCTCCCATGGAGCACAGAAACGGCTCAGCAACGTGGGGCAGACTAAATTACATTAACCAGTGGCTGGGTCTGCCCAGCTCCTCGGGACACTAGCATAGATGCTGCTTGGTTTCAGCCACACACAGACAGGATGGGAGCTGGGGTGTGTGAGTGACCGACATGAAGGCTGCCTTCACAGCCTCCCAACCACTCTGGCACAGGGGACCTCATTTGTGACCTATCAGTAATGGGTCTCCTCTGGGCGACTCCCCTGGCCTCCTCGAGCTGTTTTTCTTTCTCGAATATAAAAATAACACTTAAACAGAATCCCAACCCCATGTCCTAGAAAAATAAGCTATCCAGAGATGGCAGCCAAATTCACCCTAGGGTTAGGGTACAGTGTCCTTATTACACCCAGTTGTGAGAGCAAGGAAAGAAATAGGGTTTCAAGAAATATAATACCACGATCAGAGACTAAAATCAAACACCCATGGAGTATTTGTTTCCCAACCAAAGCCAGTACCTTCTGTTCATGAGCCCATGGCAGCAAGAGCAGGTGCGGGAGCTCTGAGAGGCAGCGGGCTGGGACAGGGCAGAGAGCTCATTTTTTACAACTGGAAAATTGCTGATTTTACTGTTGAGCAGTGCTGGTGTCTGCTCCCAGATGGAGCACAACTCTATGTGACCCTTGATGCCTCTTTGAGATGACCAGTGACAAGCAACCCCCTCCCCATGCCTGCCTGCCTTCAGAGAGTCTCGTAGCTTGAAGTCTAAGGGGACTAGAAGCAGGTGGTGAGGTAACAATTTTAGTAACTACTTACTGAGCATCTATTACATGCCAGGCTTGAGCTTTATGTACATTAAGCTTAGTGGTTAAGAGTGTGACGTTGGAGTCTAGAAACACTGGGTTTGCTTTGGCTCCATCTCATTAGCTCTGAGATTTTAATCAAGTTATCTAATCTTTTTGTGACCTGATTTTCTCATTGGTCAAATTATAATAATAAAAATGTTTACCACATAGGACTGTGAGGGATTACATAGGATACTGTACACAGCATGTTTTGCAGTGGCTGGTAGATATTGAGCACTGCATAAATGTGAAGCATTACCAGACACATTTGTAATTTCTAACTTACCTCCGTCCTGCAGTAGAAATGCATTAGTTAAAGAGAGGCTCGGCTGCTGTAGCAAAGGTTCCATTCGTCAGTGGCTTAAACAAGAAAGAAGCTTATTTTTTCTTATAACATAACTGTCCAGAGGTGAGCAGGCCAGCATGGGAGTGGAGAGGGTCTATCGTGTTCAACCTATGTCTTCCGCCATTAGGTTCAAATGGCTGCTCCAGTTCCCACCATCATATCATGATTCTATTCAGTAGGAAGGGAGGAATCAAGCCTTTCTTTCTAAGTGCTCCCTTAAATGTTGCATATAACATTGCTGCTCAGATCCCATTGACCAAGCTTAGTCACATGGCCATTGTACCTCCTAAATAAGCTGGGAAATGTTATCTTGCCTTTAGCTAAAATTGTGGGGATTTACTAGCAGAAGAAGATATTGCTCTGCTAGAGCCCAACATCTCTTCACCCCTTACAAAGAGCATATTCAGCACCCCTCAAAGGGAGGCAAGGCAGTGTTCCATCCAGACACAGCACCAGTGCAGAGCTCAGGATCTCTGAGGGGACCAGGTATGGATGAGGTCCTCACGGCCTAGTGACTGGTCAACTAAAAGGCAGGTAATCTGGCTCTCTCATTCCCCATAGACAACAGTGGAGGAAGAACAGGATAAACTCAAGTAAAACATTTACTCAGAACAGGAAAGAATGGCAAATAACCAGCAGTCACTAAATCTTAACAGATACTAAATCCAGTTGGGCCAGAATTGCAAAGCCGCTTTCCCACAGTGGGGTAAGTTCTTGGGCAGCGCATCTGGCCGCCCCTGCTTCTGCTCCCTGAGAGGGTCTCCTCTTTCTACTCTCTTCTGCGGCCTCGTGTTTTTTCTTACCCAGTGTCCTCTGCGGCTGCATTGGAGAACATGCCCACCTTCTGGTAGACCTTACAACTTTCACAGCCCTCTTCCTGCTGGTGCAGATTTGGGGGAATGAGACTAACTGAGAATGGGAGGGAGGGCATCAAACTAGGCTTTGCTGACCAGGTTTATGGTTTCTTTGCCAATACAATACAATACAATACAATACAATACAATACAATACAATACAATACAATACAATACAATCAAAATCTTAGAAGTCTTCTGACTGATTCTACACTTGAGTAACCACAGCCAATGGTCTCATACAGACATAACATTTATGCCTGAATACTCTGGAGTTGGTGTAGAGTATTCTTATTCTTTCTCTAACTGGCGTTAGCTATCTTGAGACCATTTGAAAAAAATAAGCGTGGCTGTGAAGGGAACTAACTCCCTTATTCTGCCCACTGGGCTGCCTCCCACTATTTGCTGAACAGGGTGTGCTTAAGAAAGGTTTGGAACCACAGGTTCACCTCTCACTAAGCCTATTTCTTCCAAACGACCTCTTGTAACTAGCCTGAGTGCATCTTTCTTGCTGGACTTTGCTAATAGCAGCGAGCAGCAGCCAGTATACACCAACAATCTGAGTGTTTCCATTCAATTTCCTTGAGTGTTTATAGGTTCTGTTAGCATATGCTTTACTTTTCAAGGCATCATAGATGACAGACATGTCATATATTTTGCTGTTATATAACAATGGTTGCCAGCTTACCAGTATACGATATTTTTCTTTGCTATCTGCTGTACAGTCTCTAAACCAATGCCACTTGTTTTAGGCTCTTAAAGCCGTGTCACTTCCAGGTACCACTTTCTGTGTTAGTTAGGGTACATGTTGGTTGTTGTAATGAGGACCCAGTTTAAGAATGACTTAAGCAAGAAAGTTTATATCTCTCTCTTAAAGGAGTCTATAGACAGTCCAAACCTAGTAGGGTGACTCTGAAACCCTTAACAAGCTTCTTTCATCTTGGTTACAAGACAGCGGCTCTAGCTCTTGCCATCACACTAGCATCCCAGTCGACAGAAGGGGAAAGGAAGAGAGGAACTTACGATTTTTTTCTTTTAAGGCCTGACCTGGAAGCGGCTCATATCACTTCCACTCACATTCATTGGCCAAATTTAGTCACAAGTCCATATTTAGCTGCAAGGAAGGTTGGGGAATTTGTCTTTATGATAGGCGGCCACTCCAGCTACAATTCAAGTGATTTTATTACTAAAAGAAGAAGAGAAAAATAGATATCAAGAGGCAAGCGGCAGTCTCTGCCACCAAATGTTTTATCCTCATTTTACATTCATGTAAACAGGCTCGAAGAAAACAACGCTTGCCAAGGTTATATAGCAAGCAAACGGCAGCGCATAAACTTTAATAGGTCCATCTGACACCAAGACAGGTTTTCATCACATCTAACCAACAGATTTGATCATCAAGGTGCCCGCTGTTTACTTAGAAGATATTCATATGTGAATAGTTAGATAAATGCCAGCCCAGTGTACACTGAGATGTGTACACAGAACACTCGCTATCAGACCAGTGTTGTCAGGGTGATGTAATCAGGGGAGACTTTCTTAAAAGGCGCCCCCTGCTCCTGGCCTTGTAGGCGGGCCATGTCCGAGGTGGAGGAGAAAAGGGAGCATCGCGGGAGAAGGCAATGGTGTGAGCTGAGCCTGTTTTGTCTCTGGCTTGGCTGTGAAGGTGGCCCAGAGCATTAGGGGTGCGGTTTTTCCAGGTCCGATGCATCACACATCTCCACTCAATCTTACCACCATTTGAGGTGTCTCATTAGCTGTGCCTTAGAAGTTCCATCATCTGAGACCAGACAGGAACAGGCCACACGGATCCTGTGGAAAGAGAGCTGCATTCACCCCCTGTACTATCCGAGACACACATGGATAAGCAAAGCTCTCTCCCCGCTCTGTTCTCCCCCACCCCTTCCCCCATGCAGGACAGGGGCTTTGCGGGATGACCTAAAATATGTTCAATAAATTCAGCGAGAAATCCAGTAATCCATTACCGAGTGTCCACCCCGGGGCTGGAGACTGAAATGGAAGAGGCTGAAAGGAAGAGAGGAAGGGAGGGGCAGAGAGGAACCAGAGCAGCTGGGTCAGCATTCCTCATTTGGACACTGACTCAGGCCCCGGGAATGCCAAGGAAGGGGGATGGGCAGCCACCAGAACAGGACTGGGATCCTATTGGCACCAGAAGATGTAGGGACAGCACACACAGCAGGATGGGGGGACCGCGGCTCCTGCAAACCTGGACACACCTCAAAACCACAGGTAGAAACAGTACATCTCACCCTGCAGACAAGTGTAGGCCTGGTACCCTCCAGCCCATCACACAACTTCAAGGTGATCATCATAGCTCTCCATCTGCCCAAATCACCCACTCCCCCATCAGAGAGAGGGACAGGCTCTTGGAACTCAAACAGGGACATCTGACATATATTGGTCACTTTCCCGGGACCACCCACAAACCCCTTGCCCCCAGCCTCCCGGCTGGCTGCAACTTGCCCTTTCTAACTCCAGCACCACTCAGGACTGAAGTTCGTACAAGGAAGAAAGTTAAGCTCAACCCACCCCCATTTTCCCTTTTTTAGTACCTGACACAGATGAGAAAGGCCCTTGGAGGAGGAACCCAGGACTCAGAGCCCACCCTCTCCTAGCCTTGTGTCCCACAATGCTCCAAGCCACCTCCCCCACAGCAGGGTCCTTCCTGCTAGTCCTCAGGGACCCAGGAGGCAGCCCAGGACCAAACATCAAGATTCCAGGTTGCTCCTCTCCTCCACACCCTGCCCCCAGGCTGCTGGGCTGGAGCAGCTGAGCGGGTGGGCCCCGCCCTCTCAGCTGCCTGACACCCAGAGAGTAACTGATCCAGGGGAGCAGGGTGCCAAGGGCCGGGCCCAGAATAGTGCTGCCCAGCTACAGTGTCGCACACTTGTTCTCTGTTGTTCTGCATTGGCCACATGGAGCCCGAGCTGGAGCATGCACTGCGCAGGGTACAAGGGTTTGGGGGAGGCCATGACCTGAGGCCGCCGAGGCCAGAAGATTGAAAACACACAACACTGTGTGAATGTGTCCGTGTGTGCAGTGTGCACATGTCTGTGTGTGTGCGTGTGTGTTTGACCTGAGTTTTCTCTGTGCATATGATTATGTGGATGTCTGTGTGTATATATTCTCTGTGCGAGTGCACGGTTCTGTGTCTGAGAATGGTTGAGTATGTGCTTCTCAGTGTGCATGGGTGTTTGTGTATGAGCGTGTATGTTTATGTGTGTTTGTGGGGGGGTGTGCGCGCGCACGCGCACACTCGCGTGTTCGTGGTGGGAAGGGAAGGACCTATGTTTCAGAACGGAGGGCATTTTCTCCTTCAGATGTTCTTCTCCCCACAGAGCCCAAGGTGGAGCCGTCTTGTGGGACCTGAACATCAAGGTAGGTGAGGCGGCCCCTTCCTGGTGCGCCCACATTCTTTCCTCCCCTCCTTTTGCCCCTGCCTCTCTGGGCCCTCAATCTCACTCTCTCTACCAGCCTGTCTTTTGTCTTCCTCTCCTTTTCTTTCTTTGTTCCTCTTTATTTCTTCTTCCTTTTCCTCTCCTCCTCCTTTCTCTTTCAAAAGAAGAGGAGGGGGATTTAGAGTCTGAAGACTTAGACTCTGGTTCTGACTTTACCACTTACTAGCTGTGTGATTTGTGGCAAATCGCTTAACCTCTCTGATCTCAGGTGTTGCATCAGTAAACTAGGAATGGTATTAATATTCTTCCTTATAAGATTGCTATGAGGTTTGAATGAGAAAAATGTTGGAGAAAAGGCCTTTGGAAGCTTGCAAATATTAGATATTATTATTAACTACATTTTAATTGATTTCATTATGTTACTCCCTATTAACCAAACAGGCCCCATTCCTTCTTCCAGAGATGAGCTTCCTAGAGCAAGGAGATAGCACTTCATGGCCATCACCGGCCATGACCACCAGCTCAGAAAGAAGCCACGGGAAATGGGGAGACAAGGCCTCAAGATGGACAAGGCAGGAGGCTGTGGAGGAAGAGGAGGAGCCAGACCTGGGAGAAGGTGAGGCCAAGGCCAGTTCTGGGGAGATGGGAGTGAGGGGCTGTGGGAAGTCCCAGAGCCAGGGGCCAGGGCTCTGCCCCCGATGCCTCCATAACAGAGTTGGACACAGCCCTCGTCTTGTAGCCTCAGTCTCCCGACACGGGAGACGATGACTGCGTCACAGAGCCAGGGGCCCAACGTGGGTTACTTGAGACAGAGCCACTATCTTATGTGACTCCCTGAGACCCAGCTTTCTCATCTGCAAAATGGGGCCCACAACATTCAGGCTTCCCAAGGCTGCTGTGAGGATAAACTGAGACAGCAGATGGTAAAGTTCTTGGAAGATGAAATTACTGTCCTCTCATCCCAAACAGGTCTTCAATCCAGGCCAGCTGCTGAGTCCATCGGGCTGGAGGCCACATTCCCCAAGGCCATACCTTTGGCCCAGTCTGCTACTTTGGCTGGGGTGGACGCCCCACTAACAGAGTGGGACCTCCTCTCCCCTGAGTGTACAGACTCAGCTGCTGGCTCCAGCATGGACGATCTGGAGCTGGGCAAGGAGTTCCCAGCTACGGCAATCTGTAGCTATGAGCTTGGCTGGGTGGAAGAGAGGCCTGCTCTGTGCCCGTCTCCGCAGGCCCCTTTACCCAAGCAGGGCTGGGATGACGAGCTGCAGAAGCCAGGCGCCCAGGTCTACATGCACTTCATGCAGAAGCACACCTGCTACGATGCCATGGCAACCAGCTCCAAGCTGGTCATCTTCGATACCACGCTAGAGGTGAGGCCATGGCTCTGTATACCTCCAACCTCATGGGGCTGCAACCACTGCTCACACCCTCCAGGATGCCCTGGCAAAGTCCCCTTCCAGAACTTCTTCTTAGCACCACGGAGACCAGTGCAAGGAGGGCTGCTACTCTCTGTGAGCACCCCTAATTGTTATTGCAGCTCTGCCACTTAGTATCTGCAGGATCTTGGGTCTCTCACTTTACTTCTGTCATCTCTTAAATAGGGATAAGAATGCCTGCTTTGCCCTACAAGTTTCAGAGGACTCTTGGGACAACCTAGGATAGGTGGGAGCACTTTTCGAACCCAGAATTATGTGAAAGACATTGCAGAATGGCCTAGGAAAAGAACAGGAGACTCTCAGTACCAGATAAACAGAATGAGCTCTGGTGCCTGTTCTGCTATTTGGGCTGAGCTACAAAATGCCTATGATTCCATTCTTATCATCATGCATTTTTGAACAGTGTTTTCCAAAGCATGGTATGTGTGCTGTCCACAGTTCACACTTCGATACTAGTGACATATCAGTAGCTTTGTATTTCTTTTCATATGTATTAGAAAAATACAACCAGCACGTTTAGATAGCGTTGCTAAGGATGAGGCCAAAATGAGTCGATGTAAAATTTATTTAGAGAAAAATATTTTGTAAATGTTATGTAAATAATCATACCCCTAGTACTTAAATTAGCAAAATTATATTGTGTATGTCTGTGCACATATGACTTCCTAGTAGAAACACTGAGTTTTCCACACCCTGGTGTGCCTGGTGAGGATGTCACCTTCAGTGAGTGCCTCTGGCCACCAGCAGCCTTATCTCTGTAGCAAATGTCACAGACAAGGATTATGTCTGGTGTGTGCCAAACGTGAGAAAGGCAGGCTAGCTCAAGTGAAGATCTCATGGAAGGACACTGGTGGGGGCAGGGCATCACTGAGAGGCAGTGAGAGACTCACCCTTCGACTGTTCTCCCTGGCCCTCAGATCAAAAAGGCCTTCTTTGCCTTGGTGGCCAATGGTGTCCGGGCGGCACCTCTGTGGGACAACAAGAAGCAGAGCTTTGTGGGTAAGGAGGGACTGGGGAGGCAGAGGTGGTGGGGAAAGGAAAGGAGGGACCTAGTGAGGTGGTTCTGTGTTCATTGTCCTCATCTGGGAAGAGTTGTGACCAGCCGACCCCTCCAGCTCTACTGCTCCAAGAGCCCAGGTCATAGATGCCATTAGGAGAAGAGGAGAGGGAGCAGAAGAGATTGGGAAAATAGAAACAGGTGCGTAGGGGGAGGAGAGGAATTAGAGGAGAAAAAGAGAGAGCCCCATTTCTCAGGCACGGCGGGGACGGCCCTCCTCCCTCCTCCCACAATTCCCACTGCTGTCTCAGTACTAGGGCAGTGGCAGGGCGGGGAAGGGGAGTCTAACCTTACGAGGCCCCAGGCTGAACCCCCGTCCCCCTCCAACCCCGCAGGGATGCTGACCATCACAGACTTCATCTTGGTGCTGCAGCGCTATTACAGGTCCCCCCTGGTGAGGAGTGGGCTGGGAGTCCTGAGGGCACCTATCTGGGTTGGGCGGAGGGGAGTTCAGGGATCCTGGTGCCCGAGATATCCACGTCTGACTTCTGGTGTCCTGTCCATGTCTCTAGGTCCAGATCTATGAGGTTGAAGAACATAAGATTGAGACCTGGAGGGGTGAGTGGACAGAGGGGACCTGGAAAGGGGCTGAGGATGCAGGGGCCAAGACCTGAAGGAGAGAATAGGCAGCGGGAATTTCCTGGAGGGAGGAGAGGGAGGGTAACAGGGAGGCCAGGGGCCTGACTGGAGACAGTCTGGGGGGCTGCGGGGTGAGGCAGGGTGGCCAGCTCTCTTGGCCTGACTCCAGCTTTTCCTACAGAGATCTACCTTCAAGGCTGCTTCAAGCCTCTGGTCTCCATCTCTCCTAACGACAGGTTAAGCGTCCTCAAAAACCTACCTGAGCTTCCTTGCTCTGCACAGTCCCCTTCCCCAGCCTTTAGTTCTGAACTCACCAGCATACCCTGGGAGGCCCACAGGCAGCCTTGGCACCCTATCCTCCTTTCTAGGGGGCTGGGATGGAGGGTGCCTCTCTCCCAGCTGCCTCAGGCTCACTGCTCCCACCTCTGCAGCCTGTTTGAAGCTGTCTACACCCTTATCAAGAACAGGATCCACCGCCTGCCTGTCCTGGATCCGGTCTCAGGCAACGTGCTCTGCATCATCACACACAAACGGCTACTGAAGTTCCTGCACATCTTTGTGAGTCTAGGACAGCCAGCCTGGGGGCCGCGCGAGTGTATCCCAGGGGCTGAGAAGTCTTCGACCCTGGGAATTGAGGAAGGAGGAGCTGAAGCCTGGGGCTGCTCCATCCTGGTGATACTACCTGTCTCAAACCCAACCAGGGCGCCTTGCTGCCCCGGCCCTCCTTCATCTCCCGAACCATCCAAGATTTGGGCATCGGCACATTCCGAGACTTGGCCGTGGTGCTGGAAACGGCACCCGTCCTGACCGCACTGGACATCTTCGTGGACCGGCGCGTGTCTGCTTTGCCCGTGATCAACGAAACTGGTACCCGTACCTAGAATAGGGCTTGGGCTAGGGTGGGGCAGTGAAGGGCAAGGGTCTATGCGGCATCAGCTCAGGGCCCAGGGTGAAGACAGGGTTAGAAGTCTCTGCCTTGGACCAAGCAGCCTCTCTGTGCCTCAGTTTCCCCATGTATAAAGTGGGAACCTTAACAACACCTTTCCTCTGACGCCCCAGGATGATTTAAAAGGATTATGTGCAATAAAACGAGCATGGTGAGAGGAAGTAGTAGATGAGGTCTTTGATTTTAATTTTACCTGAAATGGGCCATCGGACCCAGCCAGACCGCAATTTCTGGCTCTACAAATGGGTCGGAGGAACTAAAAGATCATTTCCTTGGTAAATTATGGTTGTAAATGATTTCAAAGTTAAAATCCATTGCCTGGTTTAACTATTGTTAGCATATTTTTCTTTTTTTTTCTTTCTTTTTTGATAGAGTAATTTAAAGTAAATTATAGACATCATGTCATTTCACCCCTAAACACTTCAGTATGCATCTTTTAAAATAAGTATATTTCCTATATCACCCAACAAAGCTATATTTTATTAATATTATCTCATATTCAATCTTCATTCTCATATCCCCATTTTCCTCAAGAATATCTATTTTTACAGTTGATTTGTTAAAACCAGGATCAATTAAGGTCTGGACTTTGCATTTGCTTCTTTTGTCCCTAAGTCTCTTTTAATGTTGATCAGTTCCCTCCCCACTTAATTTTCATGACATTGATGTTGAAAAGCCTGGGTCAGTTGTCCTCTAGAATGTCCCACCTCCAGATCTGTGTTTGCTTTCTGCTGGTGACCTTTACCTTGTTTCCTGTTTCCTGTAAACCAGAAATTAGATTTCAGGCTTGATTGGATTCAGGCTATACATGTGAGGCTGGAATATTTCACAGGTGATACCATGTACTCACATTGTATCACATCAGGAGGCATGATGTCAGGTTGTCTTTCTCTCTGTTGATGCTTTTGATCTGTGGGTTCGGAGAGTGGCAACCTGAAGCTTCATTATAAAGCCAGTAGTCTGGAGGTGGGAGTGGGGAACATCAAGCAGTTCATTCTAAAAGCGCTCCCCAGTCCTTGCAGAGCGCCCTGCTTCTGATTCGAACCTCTTCCCTGCCTTTCTCTCACCCCACCCACCACCCTGCAGGTCAGGTCGTAGGCCTCTACTCCCGCTTCGATGTGATTGTAAGTGTCTGTGGGGAACGGAGGGGAGCTGGGGGTGCTGAAGGGATGCTGCGGGTGTGAGAATCAGAGGCATCTGGGGACCAGGGGGCCTTTACCAGTGTGTAGGGA